TCAGATAAACTCATTAAACATGAGTATACCTACAGGAAGTGAAGAATATACACTAAAAACATACAACAGATCCACTGAAAAAAAAGAACAATACCTAACCTAGGAGATTACATGGAGGTGTGGAAACAAGTGGAAAGAGCCACAGAAAGAAATTTTCATTCAGTAGTTATATCATTCCACACAAAATATTGTAATTTGAAAGGAAGAAATCGTCAGCCAAAGTAAAACACAAACTCTCCAGGAACTAAAGCCTGTGCTTCTCTAGCAGACATTTCTACCCTGAAACCTGGGGACTTGTGTCAGAACCATTGTCTACTGTTACACAAATTACATCATCTGCCATATTAAATCTCTAACTCATATGAACACATTAAAATTCAGAAAATAAAAATACTTCTAAAAGAAACGAATAGAAACAATGGAAATCAAACAAAAGAAGTCAAAACTTGAAGTTGAAACTAATATAAATTTGTGATCAAGCACAATCAAAATTTTGTAGTCACATGGAGTGCAAGTTAAAACACACGTCTATACATTAGAATGCCAATCAAAAACTGAGGATTACTGTAGAGTAGTAGAGGGAGTTAACTGCACCAGTATAGAGGGTGCAGTATGAATGTTGGACAGTAGTCAAATGATTAGCATATGTTCTGAAATGGCGTGAAACTAATGGGGTATAAAAGACTGATGTGCTGTTAGCAAAAAATCTTAGCAATGCATAGAGGGCAGTCCAGGAGTGGAATGTAAGACCATTTCGTGGAATAATGAAGTATAACAAAGTCTGGAAGGAATGAAAGCCTAATCAAAACAAACACAGCTATTTACCAAACCAATCTTTCATAAAAAATCAAAGTGAACATATATTATACTAATCAGTTTGCAGATAGAGGACAACCACAGAATGAAGCTGTATTAATAGATTTGTTAGATATTTAATCCCTTCTGGCCATATCTTTTAAACATTACTATGAACTCCACACTATTTTACCATAATATTTGTTAAAATAATGAATCTGCACATTCCTAATTAAAGCCAAACTTAACTGTCTGAAAGATGAATATTCATCTTGTTTCTGTTTTCACTAAAACTAGAAAGAGAATAAGGTTTTCTACATCAAGAAGAAAATTAGACTTCAGTCCTAGTAAAAAGGTTGTAATCACTAGTGCTATACACATATGTTTAAATGGATATTTATAGAGCTTATACATTACAATATTAATTAAAAAGTTATATGAACGTGTACCGTGGTCATTTTCAATCATGCAGAAATAGCCTACCCAAATGTGATCAAAGACTACTCATTCAAGTGGGGAAGACCCAAGAAGTGATTGAGATGGGACCAATCGATCTAGAACCCCAATCAGCATCGATCATACAAAATGAATGAAGAAAACCCGTAGGCAAGACAGGTAAAGGACAGGAAGGTGCCGACAATGTAAAATGAATAAAGATGATATCTCAGAATGAAACAAAAAAGCAACTAAAAAACAACTTGAATATAGCATTACAGATACTCCACATGATGCTAAATGTAGAGGAGTAGCCCCAAAAAGTGGAGAAAAAGAACTTACCGTAAGTCTCTATTAGCAGTGGATGGTACAAAAATAGCAGTGTCCCACCCTAGAAGTAAAGAAGTCACATGTGGAGGGAAAGAACTGAAGATGGCAAACACTCCAGTATGGAGGGAAGGAGGAGGAAGTATATGACGAAAATTCCTATATATAAGTGGAACACTGAAGAAAGGAGGTGGAAGGTAAACATTAACTGTAGGAGAGTTGACAGAGTAAAGAGAAGCTAAAAACTAGGTAGGGAATAAAATATATTAACAAAGATGCAAGTGACATAAAATCAGGAAGAAAATCTGCCTGATGGTAAGATAAGACAAGAAAGATTTAAAGCCTGTATAGGGCAATGCATGCAAGTACCCACTCTCAACTGAGAGACAAAAAATCATCATGAAACAATGTCATAAGAAGAGAATTATACTATGAAATGTATCTAAAAAAAAGAAATTGAGATAGGCCTAGCAGATTCTGCAGTAGAGGCCTGGAAAATAATCCATGATAAGGTGGAAGAAAACTGACAAAATATAGGTCATCTGAAAATGGATTCAGCCATTATAGGAGAAAGGCAAGCAATATTGGGAGCAGGTAGGGTGGACCCAGGAGCCCTCACAAACGAAATTAATTGCAAGAAGTGTAAACTATAAATAAAGATGAAAATGAAGTAATCGATACAGTAGAAATGTTAAGAAATTGTGCAGTGAAATAAAAATATGTATAAGATGTTATGTGTTGAAGAAAAGATATTTAACCAAATTATCAATTAACTCATAAACAGAAACACAGGTAAACTAAAAAATAACAGATTTTTTAAGCCTAATTGAACAAGATATTTAACCTAATTATCGATTAACCCGAAAGTAGAACAACAGGTAAACCAAAAACAACAAACACTTGTTAAGCCTAATCGACCACTACAGAACAAAGAATATCACTAAGCACTAAAACAAAAATCTTAACCTAACAATAAGTATGTACAATACTGGGAGAAGTTTGTGTGGACCCTGGCTCAAGAATTCCACACAAACCAAGTGAATAGGAAGAAGGATAAAAGATAAATAATAATGAAAATGAAATAAGACGTGATTGTATACAATAAAGTAAGTGTGTAGTAACAATAACATATGTAGGAGATGTGATGTATGGAAGAAAAACAATATAGTTAAACTAACGATTGATATACCAGTTAAAGAAATTTCAGATAATTCTAAAATAACAAAGACCATGGTAAGCTTAAGCAAAGTGGATATAAGAGAAAAGATACAATTAAGACTAATTGCCAACCTGAACTTGACTATGAGTATTGACCAATCTAACAAAACTTGTGTTATGGAACCCCAATAACTACAGATTATAATATTAAAAGTAAAATTATTCAAAAACCATAACAGCATAATGTCTTATATTTCCAAAGTCGATAGATCATATTTCAAACCCAAACTCAGGGTGAGGCCCTACAAAGATAAGTTCATTGGATAATCAATCTCCCGATGAAGTAAAGATGATAAATTCCCTATGGAGTACTGCAACCTGAAGCCTGTGTAAATGTGCTGACAGAACATATAACCTCTGAAGTGGTAACATAGAATTCATAATTCAAAATGAATTCACTGTGTTGGCAGAAATAAATAAAAGTTGTTGTAATGAACCGGGTAGAAATATAAAATAATTCCACTTCGGAATTTATTGCATAATAAATAGTAAATGTGTTGAAAGAAATTGACACAAAGATACGAAAAAAAAAAACACTTAAAGAGAGCACAAACTGAACTTTACAACACGAGTACTGCCAAACGAGAAGTGATAGTTTGGTAGAATTAAATAGAAAGAGTCGCATGCATCAAGAGTGTGTGTCACACTCTTATTAGTGGAGGGTTGTCAGACAATGATTTGTATGCAAAATACATTTGAACCGGTCGATTCACAGATAGGTGGGAGCTTCAAGGCTTTTGGCATGTGAAAAACGTTTTGCATACAGAGGGCAGCACTGAACAAGAATAACTATTTATGTACCATTTCGTAATGTAAAATATACTACAAGAGCTGTAGTGAGAATACATTGAACTTCTATCATGATAAAATGCAGTACATTTATAGTTGAAAACATCGTAACTGAAAAATACAAAGGTACCATTTCAGGCACAGTTTCTGGAATACAATCAACAATATATTGAAGTTTTGTAATAGTTAGCTTTTTATGACAAGTAAATGAGAATAATAATGCTCAGAAAATGAGATCAAACAGGAATGATAATTTCTAAGATATTGTACCGTAATTCTCAAGGCAAGTGATAGAATTCCACATCAACTTTTATCAGTCTAGTAAACATAAATGAAGAATACATATAATAATGGCAAAAAACATTTTTATACTTGCACCAGTTCACAAAGAGCCTTAAAAAGCAGATTGCAGTAGCTCTGATGCTTCTATTGTAATGCTATCACTTAATCTAGTGTTATGTCAAATGTGCCACATGTGGACGTGCATTGTCGTGGAGAAGAACACTTTTCCAATTGATGAATGAAGAGCATTTCTGATGAAGGACTTGATTTAAACGTTCCAGTTGCTGACTATAGATCTTTACATTTACAGTTCGCTGTGGATTGAGGAGTTTGAAATTAATTACTCCTTTGATGTCCTACCAAATGCAAAGCATCACTTTCTGTGGATGGAGTCCAGGTTTTGGGGTTGGAAATGTTTTTGTCTAGGACTGAGCCATTGTTTTTGGCATTTAATATTCGCATAAAGAATCCATTTTTCATCACCAGTGACAATTCTGTCGAAAAATGGTTCATGCGCATTACGTGCCAGAAGAAACGAACAACGTTCACATGCTGGAAACGGAGAGTTCGCAAGGCACCCAAACACCTTCTTTATGGAGTTTTCCCATATTCCTTAGATGTTTATGTACTGTTTCATGAGAGAAAGGCAATTTCAGAGCCATTTACGAGCATCTTGCCTTGGGTTAGACTCAACAAGCATCTTCAGAGCATCAATATCAATCCCAACACATCAGCCCCTGCCATCACAGTTTTTAAGGCAAAAGTCACCTGAATGAAATTTGCTGAACCATTGTTGGCACTTACAAATGTTCAAAACATTTCCATAAACTTATTTGATATTCTTTGTGGCTACAGAGGCATTGTTTCCCTTGTTGTATTCAAACAGCATTACATGCCGAATATGTGTCTCGTCATGTGCCATCATTATAAGGGATTAGAGTATGCTAAACTTTACACATTATATAGGCTACACTAACGTTTAGGCAGTTCATTTAACTATTATATGTGATGTACGATTTTTTGGGGGAGGTTAATGAAAGTGTTCCAAAAAGCGACATTAATTTCTTGATGACCTAATAATTTTGTGAAACTGTAAAATATCATGACATGCGCAGAAGAACCATGCCCTAACTTTAAAAGTTAATGCAACTTACTTGAAAGACCTGATGTTGTCTGCTTAGATGGCTTTCCAAGAGAACCAAAGATATCATCTCCTTCATCAGATTCATCATCAAAAATATCCTTTGGCTTATCACTTGCTGTCAATGTTCTTTTTGTTTGCAGAGAGTCATCTGTCTGTTTCAGGGATCCTTGGAGTCCAAAGAATGCTTCATCTCCTTAGATATAAAAATTAAAATAAACCACCAAATACACAGTGTGAAGATGTCATAAAAGTGTACAATATTATTCTTTATTTCAAAATAAAGGAATGCTTATAGCATATATTAATCTAACTATCACAAAATGCTTCATTTACAAACCTCAGCACCAGTTAAAACAGATCATATTTTAAGATATATACATTTTTGGTGATGATGGGTCTATACAAATTCTGAATGTATTTGTTTGTAGTTAAGCACAAAGCTACATAATGGGCTACCTGTGCTCTTCTCACCACTTGGTTTCTGGCATTGCAAGTTTGCAGACATACCGCTATGATACTGGTGGGTGAATATATTTGAAATGTTGGTATAAGGAATAAAATTTTACAACTTCAGTTTTAAAATAAGATATCTGGTGCACAATCAGTTTATATATACATTTATACATATGTTTTATAGCTAGTATGTGGTAGTATGTTATTTCTTTTTAGTTAATTTCCACTTAATGAAAAATAATTAAATTGAAGGATAAATAGAAACTTATATTTTCAGTGCACAAAAAAATGCTGATAATTACAGAAATCAAAATTTATTACTATTGTACAGTGCTATACAAATGAATTATTGTAGGCAGATTTTGTTGAATAAGACCGATGTCTGTAGGTTTACTTTCTTCTTGGAAATCTTCTCAAGAAATCGATAAGACGTTTTAACGTTGTTAGAACAACGGGCAAAAGTTGTAGATAGTGGTGAATTGGCCGACACGTTTCGAATGCGGTCTGCATCCATTATCAAGGCTGAGTGTTGTGTGAATTGCGATTACTGTTAGTGGATATTTATAGGCAAGCGGGTGGTGGTATTTAGCTCATTAGGTGGCGCTGTCAACTACATTGGAAGGCGTTGATTGGTGGAGTGTTGTATTGTGGCTTGGGGGTTTCTCGCCAAGAAGTAGCAGTGTGTGTTCTGTTCCAGTCGATTGTTTGTTAATTGTGGGGGTGTGCTGTAGGATCTGTATGGCCTCGTGTATCTGGAGCATTGTGAAGTCGTTAAATGGAGGGTATAGAGCTATAATTTATGTATGCTTCAAATATACATATTAGAAAATAAAAAAATTATCAACTTTCTATATTTGTGCACACAAAATACTTGGGTTTATAAACAAGCTTTGTATGATTTCTAAAAAATCCTATTTCATTTCAGAGCAACAGCTCATCACACCTCAACAGTTTTGGTGAAATTATGATATTCTCCTTCAAGCTATTTACAAAGAGCTATAGGATTTATGTACACAACAAGCAGTTCTTCCTATTGGTTAGAAACTCTTAGGAAAAATAAAAAGTATGTGGGACAAGACAAGAGGTTTTAAAAGAATGGAGTAGTGGGAGGAGCCAAACTACTAGATTGGCTAAATATATTGATATCTCAGCAAATCAAAGAGGTACAAAGTTCTCATTTTTCATTATAACTTGCCAATATCTCCAATTTGAGTTTCTAATTCGTTAACCACTGTCAAATATAAAAGACTGTTTAGTGTAGGTAGTATTATTAATGAATTTATTTTGTGTTTGTAATTCACCGATGTTGAGGCTATCGAATGTTGTGTTTGGAATTCTTTGATGTCAAGGCTATGGAGATTTCTAGAAGGCTTAAGTGATAGACATATAAATAGCTGTGACTAGATGAGTGGAAACAGAGTAAAAGTAAAGTTACGTAAAAAGAGAAGTTTGGTCAGAAAAGTTAACTGTCGTGTGAGTCAGTTGCCTAATGGTTCATATGCTAGAGTGAGACTAACAGTTTGAAAGAGATAAGAATAATAATCCATCCTGTCAAAGAGTGTTCTAAACTAATTGAACCCACCTGTTTGTTTGTTTTTAATTATGCACA